CTTAATGCAGACTTTTACATTAATGTCTGTCTCTATAATCTGTTTCTCAGTTTTTAGCTTTCAAATGTGTTTCTGAACTTAGTGTACTAGTTACACTTTCATCATTAGGTCTCTACTTTAAGAATGTCATTTTCCCTCCATCTAAATCACACAGTAAATAAATGTTCAACAGAATGAGTCTGACAGGCACTTCTGAGGTGGTCCAGTGGTTAAGAATCCCCCTTCCAATGCAGGGGAGGCAGGTCCAATTCCTGGTCAGTGAACGAAAATCCCGTATGCTGTGTGCACTTAAGCCCACATGCCTCAACTACTGAGCCGCGCGTGCTGTGGAGCCCGTGCTCTGCAACAAGAGAAGCCTGTGTGCCACAATGAAGACCCAGCACAGCAAAAATAAAAGAATAAAATTATTACTGACCCTTGCTAATTCTTTAGGGAACTATAATTCTGTTCTATGTTCCTATTTCTTCAAAACCAGTTTCCCCCTTATGGATTTTCCCCTGATTTCTATAACACATGTCAGGCTGATCAGCTGTGTACCAGGACTATAAGACTTTCAGAGTCAGTAGGGAATTTCCAAGATCATCTGGTCTTGCCCAGCTCTCTCCTTTACAAATAAGAAACAGGAAATCAGCAAAGTCATACACCCTTAGCCACATGGCTAATAAGTGGTATATCTGTGAAGAGAAGGAATTCTAAATATTATAAATGATGTTCTTTCCAATAGAGGCTTTAATTTTTTTTGTATTTTTATCAGTTCACCTGATTTACATGAAATAAGATAAATTACTCCTTTTTATTATTCTCTGCTTTATCTGAAAAAATGCCCTTTCTGTTCTCAAGGGGTCTAGTTGCCTACCACACAAGGAGCACAAATATTGTTTCCTCTATGTTTCAAGTCCGTTCAGGGAAACAGTGGGTGAACAACCTATTTCTATTCTAACAAGCTATAAAACTAAATTAGTAAAAATTTCAGCTTACTGTAAGCAGTGAGGAAACAAATATTTTGGTTATAAATCTCAAATCCTGACTCTAAGTCTACAAATGTATTTAAGGATAACTATCAACTTTCTAAGATTCAATAGAATGATAATTTTATATGAGCCTGGATAGCTCAGGCTATTCAGGCTATGACTTTTAATCTGAGGGTCCAGGGTTCATGTCCCTGTTCAGACGTGCAATTACATTGACGGTATACATTAAATCACTGTATCAGTTATACAGTCTTTTTAAGATCTTACAGATATAAAAACATATCCTTTTTATATCACTTCTGCTGATTTACGATCAGTCTCACTTAAAATCAAACTTAAGAAATATTAACAATAAATAACAACCATTACCTACCTCTCCATCAGAATCTTAAGTTTTGTGACGATTAGTTTTTATCTGGCTTGCAGTAGGTAGGTTCTCAATAAAAATGTTGATGAGTGAATGAATGAATGAATAAACTCCAGGAAAACTAACTCCAAAAATGGATCTAAAATTTTAACAACTCCCCAAAAAGTAAATAAGAGAGACATATTCCAGAAGGATTCATTTGGCCACCAAAGTTACCGAAAAAAATGAATGAGTCTTAATATTACAATCACAGCTTTTTTGCCAATGAAGTACCTGATGCCTTTCCATTTTGCTCTTTGCCCCAAAATCTCCTGACACGTTACTGTTTCCTTAGACTCCTTACATAAGAGAGTTCTACGACAATTTCTCTGTTCATTTTTCTAGAACCGCTGAGCAACTGTTCAAAGAGACCAAATCAAGTTCACTATCACAGGAGTATAAAGAGGCTATCAGCAGATCCACAGGTCAGGTTCTTTGTTAGTATCAGAATCACTTTAAAACCTCGACTCAAAACAATCCAAGAGTTCACTATTTTTTGTCAATGTTTTCAAATTCTTTGTATGAAGCTGCTCTCACAACTCATTTCAAACTGTCAAATCTCACATTAACCAAAATAGCAATTTCTAGCAATCTGACACTGATTAAATTAAAATACTCTCTATACCGGTGCTTTCATTAAGCATTATCTTCTACATCAGTCCTCTAAAGTCTAAGTAATAACAGTATCATGTTACTTCAAATGCTGAGGATGAAGGAACTTGCTCGCTTAAATCCTTTTTCTCCTCCTGATTTTAATATGTTTACAACTTATTTAGTTCATTTCAAATGTCTATGCTAAGTTCAGAGAACTAACTACATCAAAGTCAAATCATTTATACTTTTTCTATTTGTTATTTAAATAATGATATTAAAAATTTTGAAGTTATTTTACTTAGCAAGTCAAAGCTATTAATATCAGATATATTGCCAGTTAGCTTGATTCACAAACATAAAGCACCAGCCTATATAAACCCGCCATGTTCTCTCCTTATAGTTTTCCTTTAAATTCACAAACTGAAAACTCTAATTCAAACACAAGAAAGCTATAGATATAATAAACAGATTAACTTACTGAAAAAATCTTTAAACACCTTTAGCCAATCCATTTTGAAAAAAAGTCCCGTGTTCTCTTTCGTCAGTTTGTTAACACAGCTCTGGATAATTTTCAGTGAACTTCCTGGTTCTGCAACACTGAAACTCTCCACACCCCATCCATGTGACCTGGCCCACATCCAGGCAATAGAAAGTTTTCCTAAGGCTTTTCTCTTGCCAAAACATTTTTTCCCTGAATGCTAACAGAACTTATAAAACAAGGATATCGTGATGGCCACAAATATGACCTTACTATTCAAACTTATTTTGGAATAAGTTTTATAGCACATATTTAAAGCATGTATTTTTTCAGTAGTTGAAAATATATTCATGTATTCATTCTTTTTTAATTGGAGTAGAATTACTTTACAATGTTGTGCTAGTTTCTGCTGTACCACAAAGTGAATCAGCATTATGTACATCTACATCCCCGCCCCCTTGGATCTCCCTTGCATCCTACACCTCAACTCCCATCGAGGTCACCAGAGCTCTAAGCCGAGCTCCCTGTGCTGCACAGCAGGCTCCCACTAGCTATCTGTTTCACATGTGTTAGTGTATTTCTGTCAAACCTCATCTCCCAGTTCATCCCACCCTCCCCTTTCCTAACCCCTTCTCCCAGAGTTCTGTATGTCTGAGTCTCTACTCCCCCCCTGGAACTACATTCATCTGTACTATTTTTCTATTTTTCATCATGTATTCATTCTTTCCTTTGTTTTCTCCTTTTCTTTCTTAACCTTCAAACAATATCTCCATCAACACAATCATTGTGAAACAAATCCATATATGGAACATTTAAGTTACCAAAATGGGATTCAGAAACCTTGAGAAAGGGGAGAAGGCTGTCTATCCAAGGCAAAAGCTGGATTTACATCATTATACAGGCTAACTGTAGGTCACTACCTTAAAACAGAATGTTTCCAAGTACTTTGGAATAGACAGCAATAATTTTAATAATACAATGATAGCCTAGAACTTCACTAGATAACAGTCTCAATAATACAGTCTCAAGGCAGTTAAAAAGATACAGTCTCAAGACACCTAAAACTGTCTCAATAATATCAGAAAATAGTATGGAAGGTTTCCCAGGAGTATTAATAACAAAAACTGTATCTAATAAAGCTTTCAAAATTTATATGAAGTTTTATCCAAAACTGGGATTTTTTTCTCCTTGCTCTATATTAGTTTTTTCATTGTCTTCTGTCATTTACCGTCACATCTGCTATAGTCTCAGGATACCACTACCCTTTTTTAAAGGACATAAAAGTTTATCTCGGTGCGTCCCTAGTCCTGTCTGTGCCTTCATCATTTCAAAGCATACTCTGACAGAAGCCACCTTAATTTTCCCAAAGACCCCTAATCAATATACTTTAAATAAATATCCAATTATTTACAAAATTTTAAGTATTCCTGGTTCTAACTTTGATCTCTTCAACCATTCAAGGACAATCTCTTTCTGACTGTCTTCCATTTAAAAACTAATATTAAATAATTAAATAATATTAACTTATAACTATGACCTCAAAAATCTCACACACACACAAAAAGGTAAGCCTAATTAAATTAAAGCATTTAAATGTGTGGTTAATAACTTCATTTATTAAATTACCTTTAGCACAGAAGAATAATGCAGAGTAAGAAATAAAAATATAAAGCAGTCAATAATACTCCATGTTCAATCATGTCACATTATTCTCAAAAGTCACATTATTCTCAAACTATCTTTTTCAAGGAGAACTTATACTTTTTCTTCTACATATACACCAAGAACTGTTAAGTAACAGCATGCTTGCCTGAATACCTGAGGGAAACTCTGTCCCTCCCAATTCCTTCCTGTCAGCTAAGGAGAATTTTTTAAAAAGAGAGAGACAGACTGGTTCTCATCTGTGCCTATTTCCTTCCTATCACAGCGTGGTCAAGCCCAACATTAAGTAGGTTCCCCTATTTATGGTCCTAAGCGAAGGTCAGTAGAAACAAAATTTACAGTTACAGGAAGAGAGAAAAGAAAAAAAGAGAAAATAAGAAAGATAAGCTTTGTAGATGCTAATATATGGCAATGATCCACAACTTAAAACTCTTTTATCAAATATAAGAACAAAATGAGTTTGTTTTTAAAAGCAAATATTAAAATGTAAGCCATTAGATATAAAATCCATCAATGTATCCTGTAAAATAAGTGACCTTAATGACAAGGAGGATATTCTGCATCTCATTCATTTATCCCCATCTCAATTATATGGAGAAACTGTCTAAACTCCAATAGGTACCTACCGTTCAAGAAGCCCATGAGAGAAAATCAGAGTCAGTTCCACTAGCTAAATTTACAGAAAATGACCTTCACTGGTCTCTTTGAACACACCTGATTTGAATACACTTGCTAGGAGCCAAACTTACCTTGCCTAGCTGAAATCCCAGCTTGGGATGTTCTAGTCAGTTCTGCCCATTGATGCCATAATTCTGTACAAAGAACGAATTTCTAGCATTCATTAAAAAGAAAGTATTGCTGTTTTTGTTTTAAAACAAAAATAACTTACCTAAGGTATCTTTTAGGTTTTTTACAATAGATGCTTTCCGGGCACTGTTTTTCCTTTCCACATAGTTAGAAGGCACAAAACCCGTTTTATTCATGGAATTTCGAACTCGCCACCAGGACTTAGAATCATCCAGAAGCCACAATCTCTCATTCTTCTTGATGTCCAGCTCTTGTTCTTGTTGGGCCACATAATCAAACTTGGCTACTACTACCACTTCCTCTGCCATTTTTCAGCACCTTCTGCACTGTAACCACACAGAAAATATTTCATATAAGATTGAGAAGTCATCTACATGCTTGTCAAGAGAAACACACCTAAGAACCTAGGAGTAGTGAATGGTTAAAAAATAAAAATAGGGAAAAAAACTAAAATACCAGGCAAATACTAATCAATACAAAACTGGTATAGATATATTAATAACACATAAAAGGACTTTAAGGCAAAGCTATTACTAGTGATAAGGAAAGTCACTATATCCTTATAAAAGGTTTTATTCAATATATATAATAGCTAAGCTTATGTGTACCTATTAGTATAGGTCCAAACTATATTGACAAAACAAGAAAAAACTGATAAATCCATTGTCATAGAGGTTTAACTTTTAACATATTTATCTCAGTAGTAAATTAAGAAGACAAAAAATTAGAAAGGTTAAAGAACTGACATCATAACTATTAAGTTTGATGCAATAAACATATACAAATATAACTTCCAAACAGAAGAACACAAACAAGAGTATATACAAAATCCAAACAAATGCAATAAAAATCTCTACACATTTTTCGTGTACTTGGTATCCTAAATCATATTCTCTGACAATCATAACAAAAAGATAGCTTTTAAAAAATCTTATAGGTTTAGAAACTTCTAAAAACTGATGTGGAGAAGGAAATGGCAACCCACTCCAGTATTCTTGCCTGGAGAATCCCATGGACAGAGGAACCTGGTGGGCTATAGTCCATGGGGTCGCCAAGTCAGACATGACTGAGCAAAACAATAACAACAAACACTGATGAGTCAGAGAAGAAATCTTAACAGAATTTTGAAAATACTTATAAGTAAAATTAAAGACTATACAAATAACTTTGTGTGATGCAGCAAAAGGAGTATATAAGAGATCTGTAGTTATAAATAATTACATCAGAAAAAAAAAAAAGTTAAAAATAAATTAATGAACAGATCATCTGTCTTCAGTTGGAAAAGAACATAAAGAAAAGCAGATAAAAGGAAATAATACAAATAAATGCATAATTTAATGAAATAGAAAGCAAAGACATAGTTCTGACAAGACTAAAAAATGAAAAAAGGAATAGAGAGCCCAGAGATAAACCCACACCCATGGTTAATCTTCAGCAAAGGAGGGAAGAATATACAATGGAGAAAAGGCAGTCTCATCAGCAAGTGGTGTTGGGAAAGCTGCACAGCTACCTGTAAATCAATGAAGTTAGAACACACTCTCATAATATCATACATAAAAATAAACTCAAAATGGCTTAAAGACTTAAATATAAGATATGACACCATATACTGGCACAAAGACAGAAATATAGATCAATGGAACAGAATAGAAAGCCCAGAGATAAATCCAGGAACCTATGGTCACCTTATCTTCGACAAAGGAGGCAAGGATATACAATGGAAAAAAGACAACCTCTTTAACAAGTGGTGCTGGGAAAACTGGTCAACCACCTGTAAAAGAATGAAACTAGAACACTTTCTAACACCATACACAAAAATAAACTCAAAATGGATTAAAGATCTAAATGTAAGACCAGAAACTATAAAACTCCTAGAGGAGAACACAGGCAAAACACTCTCTGACATAAATCACAGCAGGATCCTCTATGACCCACATCCCAGAATTTTAGAAATAAAAGCAAAAATAAACAAATGGGACCTAATGAAACTTAAAAGCTTTTGCACAACAAAGGAAACTATAAGCAAGGTGAAAAGACAGCCCTCAGATTGGGAGAAAATAATAGCAAACGAAGCAACAGACAAAGGATTAATCTCAAAAATATACAAGCAACTCCTGCAGCTCAATTCCAGAAAAATAAATGACCCAATCAAAAAATGGGCCAAAGAACTGAACAGACATTTCTCCAAGGAAGACATACAGATGGCTAACAAACACATGAAAAGATGCTCAACATCACTCATCAGAGAAATGCAAATCAAAACCACAATGAGGTACCATTACACACCAGTCAGGATAGCTGCTATCCAAAAGTCTACAAGCAATAAATGCTGGAGAGGGTGTGGAGAAAAGGGAACCCTCTTACATTGTTGGTGGGAATGCAAATTAGTAGAGCCACTATGGAAAACAGTGTGGAGATTTCTTAAAAAGCTGGAAATAGAACTGCCATATGACCCAGCAATCCCACTTCTGGGCATACACACCGAGGAAACCAGATCTGAAAGAGACATGTGCACCCCAATGTTCATCGCAGCACTGTTTATAATAGCCAGGACATGGAAGCAACCTAGATGCCCATCAGCAGACGAATGGATGAGGAAGCTGGGGTACATATACACCATGGAATATTACTCAGCCATTAAAAAGAATTCATTTGAATCAGTTCTAATGAGATGGATGAAACTGGAGCCCATTATACAGAGCGAAGTAAGCCAGAAAGATAAAGACCATTACAGTATACTAACACATATATATGGAATTTAGAAAGATGGTAACGATAACCCTATATGCAAAACAGAAAAAGAGACTCCGATGTATAGAACAGACTTGTGGACTCTGGGAGAAGGCGAGGGTGGGATGTTTCAAGAGAACAGCATCAAAACACGTATATTATCTAGGGTGAAACAGATCACCAGCCCAGGTTGGGTGCATGAGACATGTGCTCGGGCCTGGTGCACTGGGAAGACCCAGAGGGATCGGGTGGAGAGGGAGGTGGGAGGGGGGACCAGGATGGGGAATACATGTAAATCCATGGCTAATTCATTTCAATGGATGACAAAAACCACTGCAATGATGTAAAGTAATTAGCCTCCAACTAATAAAAATAAATGAAAAAAAAAAAGATATGACACCATAAAACTCTTAAGAGTATAAGCAAGATAGTCTCTGACATAAATCATACCAATATTTTAAGTCAGTCTCCCAAGGCAATGGAAATAAAAGCAAATAGGACCTAATCAAACCTTCAAGCTTTTATACAGCAAAGGATACCACAAGCACAACAAAAAGATAACCTATGGACTGGGAGAAAACATCTGCAAACGATGCGACTGACAAGGGCTTAATTTCCAAAATATACAAACAGCTCATACAACTCAGTAAAAAAAAAAAAAAAAAAACCACAATAAAAAAATGGGCAGAAGACCTACATGCATTTCTCCAGAGACGACATATAGATGGTCAACACGCACGTGAAAAGATGCTCAACATCGCTAAACATCACTAATTATTAAAAAATACAAATCAAAACCATAATGAAGCACTATCTCACCTTGGTCAGAATGGCAATCATTGAAAGGCCAACAAATAACAAATGCCAGAGAAGATGTGGAGAAAAGGGAACCACCCTATACTGTTGGTGGGAATGTAAACTGGTGGGGTCACCATGAAAAACAGGGTAAAGTTTCCTCAAAAAAAAAAATAATAATAATAATTTTAAAAAAAACAGAAAAAACTAAAAACAGAGCTGTTATATGAGGCTGCAATCCCACTCCCAAGCATATATCCAGACAAAACTATAAATAAAAAAGATATACACACCTTAATGTTCACTGCAGCACTACTGAAATAGCCAAGACATGGAAATAGCCTAAATGTCCATGGAAACAGGAATGGATAAAGAACATGTGGTATATATACACAGTGGAATACTACTCAGCCATAAGAAGAATGAAATAATGTCATGTCCAGCAACATGATTAGACCTGTAGACTATTATACTAAGTGAAGTAAGTCAGAAAGAGAAAGACAAATACCATATGACATCACTTATTAAAATATGACACACTGAGACTTCCCTGGTGATCCAGTGGTTGGGAGTCCACTTGCCAGCATAGGAAACAAGGGTTTGAATCGTGGACTGGAAAGTAAGATCCAACAGGTTGCAGGGCAACTGAGCCCGTGTGCCAAAACTACTGAAGCCCGTGTACCCATGACACAACAAGAGAAACCACAGCATTGAGAAACTCGCACACCACAACTAGAGAACAGCCCCCACTCACTGCAACTAGAGAAAGCCCATGTCACAATAAAGAGCTTCATGCACTGCAATGAAGATCCAGCACATCCAAAATAAAATTATTTGAAAATACAATGACATAAATGAAATTATCTATAAAAAAGACTGACAGACACAGGAAAAACTGTCGAGGCTGTCGAGGGCAGGAGCACATGTGTGAGGGAGTTTGGGATTAGCAAACTATTATGTATTGAATAGATAAACAAGGACCTACTGTATAACACAGGGATCTATATTCAATATCCTGTGATAAACCATAATGGAAAAGAACATTAAAAAGAATATATATAAAACTGAACCACTTTGCTGTACAGCAGAAATTAACACAACCTTGTAAATCAACTATACTTCAACACATTTTTTAAAAATGAAAAAAAGGAAAAAGTACACCCAAATATAAATTAAAAGGGAGTCATAATCATAGATGCTAGACATTCAAAAGCCACAGCAATATTAAAATCTTTATCAATATATATGAGAAAAAGTAAATGTACAAATTTATAGAAAAATTAAAGTAACAAAAGTAGTAAAATTGAATTAGTCATTAAGAAATCTTCCCATAAATGAAAACCCCAGGATCAGATAGTTTCACAGGCATATTCTATTAAAATTCAAAGAACAACAACAAAAAAAAAAAAAGGGAAAAAATAATTCCAACTTACACAAACTCTTTTAGAATAAAAAGAGGAAATGTTGCAAACTTAAGTCACTCCTGAACCTAGATTAGCTCTCTACTTTCTTCAGAGAGATTATTATACATAAATAGCTACCCCTGGTTTAGCAAGCAAATAAATTCAGCTTCTGCTTATTGAATAGCATTCTGTTTTCTCAACAAAGAAGTTAAGTTCTTCAGCATATTCAGAGAAATGCATTTTAATTTAGAATTCAACAACCCCTAGCATTCAACTGTATCTACAAGGAAGATACCTTTGGGGAGTTATTGCAAAGGCCTCAAAACCTACCAGTTTTCTAAAATAATGACTCAAGTATGGTCAATTCAGTTCAGTTGCTC